AAATGTGGTTTCAATACTGGAAATCCTTGTGATAGCCTTAAAATATATTTTTATATTTATTTATAAATTTTAAAACTTAAAAAATTGTGTAGATCGATAGATCTATGAAAACTTGATAATCTTGAAAATTGACAGTCCAAAAATGCGTTCTAAAATGCACTATTTCCAAAATTTGAAATCTATTTTTTTCTCATGTCCATGCATGTTGATGTCGAGATGATCAATTTGAATATATTTGGGCATCAAAACAACCTCTTCTAGTGAAATTTTTGAGGTAGGTTCAAATTTAATGGTTTAGAGCCTCGGCTCTATATAAACTTTTCCCCTTCTTATTTGGTTTACCACAATAGGATTGCTATGGGATAGTGGTTTTATAATTTTATCTATCACAATCTTCAATAGTAATAATGAATTACTGATTTTAAAAACAACATACAAACAGAAAGATTTACTTTTTTCGAATCACATCAATGAGATTATGTCAAGGTAATGTTTGCCTGTATGGAGAGGATTTTTTTATAATTTCATCTATCACAATCTTCAATAGCAATAATCGTGGCGAATTGCTTATTTGAAAAACAACACATGAACAGAAAGATTTACTTTTTTCGAATCACATCAATGAGATTATTTCAAGATAATGTTTGCCTGTATGGAGAGGATTTTGGACACATTTTATCCAGGACAACTTCAAACATAATATCAATAATATAATCGCGATACTTGCCCCTTATTGATAGTGTGCATAGAGCATTTCAAGCAAATTTATCTTCAGGATATCACGAAACAGAAGATCAAAATTATATGTTTAAATGCACAAGAACATCAAGAATCACAATTCACATGTAATATTGCTAGTTCAAATGCACGAGAACATGAAGAACCACAAGCACCAAAATTTGCCTTGTATTTGAGAGAAGATAAAACCATTTAAGACCTAATGTCACAATCACTATGCTTCACCATATGCCTTTCTCTCTCTTTTATTCTATGAATACACTGGCAGATTCTATATACATGTTTCTCTCTTGTTCAATTGTTTTTTCTATATATGGAATAATACATAAAGGGTCTAGTTTGCATAAGATTGCAACCTTAAACAATCAAATTAAGACGCATATCTAAATTTTGTTAAAATCTATGTTTATCTCTAATAATAAAATTTTAAACTCTAAAAATAGTTCAAATCAAGTAGATCTATTAACACTTGAAAATCTAATGTGTTGCAAAATTGAATATTTTTGAGACTTGAAATCGTTTTCTTTCTTTTTTTTTCATATCCATTTATTTCAATGGCGAGATGATCAATTAGAGGGTTTTTCAATATCAAAATGACCATTTTCGATGCATTTTTGACATGCACCTGTAACCTTATATAAACTTTTTCTATACATAAATTACCGTTTACAAAAAGTAATAAAACAATAGCTTTCATAAATAATAATCTGACATAATCTATAATAGTGTCTGAATCTCCTCTATTGTGCCCTTCACCCCACATGGCTCGTCACAAAAGCCCCATAGTTAAGAGCATTTTGCCGATACATTGGCGATTTGGACGTTAAGCAAACAGGGCCTTAACTTGAAATGTTGTTTGAAGGTACTGACTAAATTAGTAGTTTTCATTAATGAAGGGGTTGCGTTTGGCAGAGGTTTCGCATGTAGCCCACACAAACATACCAAACATGGCGGTCGCCCTGAATGCTCTCGACCAAACACTATCATGTTTCCCTGTGCATGTCAATAAACTCACTGTGACAACATCATCATAAACACACTCTACTCATAATAAATTCTATTTCACCAGTAGCCCTAACAAATCCTCTTTCTCTCTCCTTTGTTATTCAAATGATGTCTTTACGCACATTCAAGATGGTATCGGTGCACAATAAGGAAAGGGATTGCTTGCAAAGAGATTATTTACTTTTAGTATAAAGAGATCATAATCATTATTGTTTTTTAGATTTCAAAATAAATGGTTGCAAGAGCGTCATTAATTGGACCCATAGTTTCAATAAAATTTTTTTGAATTCACCCCAAGTTATCTAATTTGACATTTAATGAGTGGGAATAGTTGTGACATCCTTATGCTAAAAGTAAATGGTTTCTTTGTAAACAATCCCATAAAAAAAATACTCGTATGTATGACCACCTTAGCATAACCCTTGATAATCGCCAAAGCACATTTTATTTTTCATTATGGTATTGTTGTATCTAGTCTTATTAAAATTAGACTGACTGCCAGTTAGGGGTCTGATTAAGTGAAAATTAGTTCAATCATTCCGTGAGACTAAAAAAATTATAGAAAAGACAACTATGATTTCAAATATCAAACAGTGTGTACACTATGCTCTTGCGGAGTTTATAATCTGCATCTAAGGCCTCACTTTAAAGGGTACGGTCTGTACATAAACTCTAAACAATCAAATTAGAGCCTACCTTCAAATAGGCCGATAAATGTGGTTTCAATATTGTGAATCTTTGTGATAGCTTTAAAATATATTTTCATCTTTATTTATAAAGTTTAAAGCTTCAAATATAGTGTAGATCAACAGATCTATGAAAACTAGAAAATCTTGAAAATTAACGGTCCAAAAATGCGTTACAAAATACACTATTTTCAAAACTTGAAATCTTTTTTTTTTCTCATGTCCATGCATCTTGATGTTGAGATGATCAATTTAAGGATATTTAGGCATCAAAACAACCTCTTCTAGTGAAATATTTGACGTAGGCTCTAATTTGATTGTTTGGAGCCTTAGCTCTATATAAACTTTTCTCCACTTTAAATACCTACTTGGGTGGATTGTTTTTGGGGACCACCTGATAACCACTTGTGATTATTTTCAAAAGAAAAAAAAATGAACTTTGAATTTTTTGACATTTAAATGTCTTTCAAAAACTAGATAAACTAGATAGTCTCTATTCAATCTTAAGACATTACTTTATGGGAAAGGTTTCTATACTTCCCCTGCAGCATAAAAGATCTATGCTTCCCCTACCATCCAGCCATTCAATTTTGATCAAGAGAGCTACTCACCGTTTGATATTAGATATGACGTCTCAAATAATTTTATTTTTAGTTTTTTAATACAAATTGTATGAATATGAAAATTTTGATCAAGAGAGCTACTCACCGTTGATATTAGATATGACGTCTCAAATAATTTTATTTTTAGTTTTTTAATACAAATTGTATGAATATAAAATTTGGTACGTGGCATCTCCTCATTACGGCGCACCTATAAAAAATATTTAAATAATTTTTTGATAAAATATAATTATCAAAATAAGTTTTGAACCTATCGTATTTTGGATATTTTATTTCATTAGAAATATTTGTTTTATATTTTTTTGTTAGTACGAGTTTAATAGAAGATTGGATATTCAAATTTGGTGTCAAATTAGATTATAGAAAAAAAATTAAAAATAAAATAGTGCAAAAACTTGACATTGTAATTGGAACAATCTTAACGTCCATTAAAAATGGACAGTTGGATAAAAAGAAGTATATAAATTTTATGCTGTAGGGAGAGTATAAAAAGCTTGCCCTTATTTTATTTCTTCTAGTACAGAGTTCAAATTAGAAAATCTTTTTATTAAGGTCAATCTACAAGTCGAAAACGTTACAGCCCCAAACTTTGGGGCCCTAAAATTTTTCTTATATTAGGTTTTCCAAGGGAGAAAATGCACAATGTACCCTTATCGGAGTATACAATCCTTTGGCCTAAAAAAAAAATTGCCTAACTTCATTTAACTAATCTAGCCAACCAAAATCAGACACAAAACCAACTAGTCTAATTTGCCAAAACATGTCAAATAGTAATTTTATTTAGACCATCCAAGATACGACTTAGCCATAGTCCATCTAGCCGCTCTGGGCCAGTCTTGATAACAATGATCGTATCCATTTAATTGCGAGTTAATCGAAAGAGAAATTCACTTGTATATATCCTCGTGAATTTTTCAAACAATCCCCCCTACATTGACTCCCTTTTTTTGGGCATTTTAAAACTGACCAAATTGGCCTTAACTAGGACCTTCAAGGTCTTTTTTTTTTGAGTTCCTCTTGGACCCAGAGGACCTTCAAGGTTCTAACTTCCTACAAGACTCCAGGAGCTACCTTAGCTGCCAAAAGGTGGCTCCTAGGGCTCCAAGAGGAATTTGGAAGCTTGAAGATGCTAAGTTCTAACTTAGGGCCCAAGTAAGGAGCCACCGCAACTGCTAGAGAGTAGCTCCTGGGGTTCCTAGGGGTCTAGGAAGAACTTAGGACCCTAAAGGTCGACATTTAAGGGGGATTTTTTAAATAACAAAAAATCACAAGGATATATGTGTAAATTTCTCTAGTCAGAACAATTTTACATTCCACCCGTATTATACACACGAGCTCCACAGGCCATACCAAGGAGGGATGGTGGCGATTGATTCCTCCGATTCTTTAGGACACAAAAGCAACTCCAGCAGAAGAACTCATAAAGTCCCTCTTCGAGTATGGGCAGTGCAGACAACATAAATCATACCCTTTGGCGTGTTAGACAGATATACCTCTACCTCTTGATGCAGTCTTTTCCACCTCCAAACCCCTCCAAAACATCTTTGTGACCAACATATGCCAGCCCACACTTCCAGTCAATACCGTCATTGAAAAGTGCAAAAGAATAAAAATAGAAATCGAGAGCTCTAAAAGCCAAGATTTGTATCCTTTGGCAATTTTCACACCACAAAATGCAGAAAGCAGCTTCTTCATTAAGTGGGTATGCATGGTTACTAGTATCACATCATTCTTACATGCAGAGAGCTTCGAAGTAGGGATCTGTAAAGATCCCCAGAAGAATCAAGAGATTAAAAAAACAAAAAGGATAGCCATAAAAATCGCAAAAGGCTGAACTTCACAAAATCAGGAGCTGCTCATCAATGATGAGACTCACAGATCAATACGCTTCCCCAGACAATGTTGGTTAACCATTATCAGCACGGTTGTCTGGATCTATTCGCTGCATCAAACAAAGGAGTATGTTGAAACGGAGGTGCTGATTACTACAGTACTACAGAAATGCATAATAAATCCCCAAAACAAAGTACTAGAAAGTCAAGTAACGAGTTTATTCCCTTAACTCATAAGTTAGTACTTTTCTGAAAAGGAGAGGAAACAACGAGAATAAATTAAGAGCACTCAGCTTATCACATTCCCCCTATATGTCTCAAAAGTAATTTATTGTCTTCCAGATAAGATTATATGGAAGGCCCATGTTCTCTCAAAACAAAATTGTTTTCCCGCATCAAGTAGATATATATCTCAAGCAATAAACAAACAATCTGAAATTTTATGCCATCAGGGAACCTACTTCTATGACAAATATTGACAGATGCAAGCTGAAGGACAGAAATCACCAGTGATGCCTCCAGCTTAAGCCCTTCTGAAGATATAGCTATTCTGTTCTGGTTCATAGACGAACCTGAGATACACGCCACACTTTAAACTTTGATGTCTGTCTGCTTCTTCTTGTCACTCTATTACCATTCACAAAATAAAACAACAACAACAAGAGCAGCTACAGCAATAACAATAACTCAAAAGTTGACTCACAAACTAGGTATTCCTTTTTGACATTTTTCCACCAAGGAAGTCATTCCTTGGGATCAACCTAAGGGTTTCATTTCAACGTAAGGCATCAACATGAATTCAGAATAGAAGAGGTATAGTCATCGTAAGGCAGGCAATTCAGCAGTACCGATCTAAAATGGATGACATTTCACAAACTTTTGACGTAAGCATGAGTGAATGCCATCATTTCATTCAAAAGAACCAATATTGCACCAACTGATGATCCCCAGAAATGATCTATTTAAACACACATGATAGAAACCATGACTTAAATTCAGAAGCGCATTAGAGGGTTTGGGCCTCTGAATGTCAAGGAAAAGGTGCTTCCTTTCTTCCCTATTTGACAGCTTGTAATTTCCTTTTACGTAATAGAATAGAACAGTTACCAGATTAAAAAAGAAAAAAGAAAAATGTCAAGGGAAAGGAGATGGCAATGCTTGCCAGATTGCTCTGACAAATAATATGACAAAGGTGGGTTTAGCATAGATAAAATGATAAAAACATAAAGCAATACAGGAAGGTTGTGCGATGCTAAATAAAAGACATGGAAGGATAACAGGTTGTAGTGACAGCCTTTGGGTAGAAAATTTCCCTTAGTAGCTATAGTAGCCACGAATATTGATCAAATGTGGATGGATGTTTTCGAATCTGAACCTTAGAGGGTCTTCAACTGATAATATGCTAAAAAAGGTGGTAGGGGAGAGAGAGTGGTGTAGGAAGACGAATGCCCATGATTTCTTTCCACAAGATCTTGGTGTAAAAAAGAGGAATAGATGTGAGGAGGAAAGGAGGCTCAGGAGTGACAACCTTCATATTGGACAGAGTCTTCCATTGTTGATGGTTTGGGTTTATATAACTCATAGAAGTGTCTTCCATCCAGGTAATTAGAGAAGACCATCACTCATCTCTTACTCCATTGTGTCCATGCTTAGGAAATTGGGGGAGGTATTGAGTTTGCTCAATTTGCTCTTATGGATTCATTTCTTGTTTTTGCATAAGAATCATCTGATGTAAAATTGAACCTTAGGGATCTAATGCTACTGTAAGAATGAATTTTTGCAGTCATGGTGGGAATATGAAAAGAAACCACTGAACTTTCGAAGGAAGCAATCATGAAGGACATACTCCACCTTCCCGAACCTATTGCCATGGCCGCTATTGATTAGCCACCACGAACGCCTGCCACCTCCCTGCAAGTCCTCAATCTCCCCTGTTCTTCCACAGTGCACCTCAGGAGTGTGGTTCACTCCCAGAACCTCCAGCACTTTCAGATATATACCACTTCTATTCTAGCTGGATCAGGGGAGATCCTAAATCACTCCAACAAAATGCTTCCCTAGGAAAAGCCATCGTTCAGCCCCCAGCATAATCCAACCGCAACATCAACTCCTCCATTAGTTGAAGCCCAAGGCGACCTTAATCGACCCAGTTGCAACATTCTCATCCTTGAGGGGATTTTATCAATAAGAGACTCTCCAGCCTTCAGTCTTCCACCCCCACAGAGACATCTGAAAGATGGGGCAAACATGTATGGCATGAAGGAGACTTTGGTTGCCATAAACTCGAGGGGGGCCTGTTCTGTTCTCATTCCTAAGGCGACCCTAGTAAAACATGACTTGGAAACCAACAACCCCCTGTTTACAAGAGCCAGGTTAACCCAATCCCGTGCTCTGTAAACTTCAGTACAGTCCATCAAAAGAGCTTCTAGATCATGGCTTCAGCAATTCCAGTCCATGCCACGTATGCCTCTACTTTCCAAGTCATAACAAATTGCGGTGGGAGCTTTGTTTGAATCCTTTAGAGGTCCATGGACTTCCTTCCTTTGGGAGCCATACAGATGCTGGTGGATACTTGGGATGGGAGGCCATCCCACAAAGAATTTGGGTCACAGTGGAATTGAAGACCCTATTGCGTCAAAATTGTTTGAACATAATAATGCCTCTCTGATCGGTCCCACACAGCACAGCAGCAACAACCCCGACGGGCAGCAGCCTTTGCAGCGAGCCTGTATCATGGTGCAACATCACAACAACAAGAGAAGATCTAACAACCATGGAATGGCTGCTTGTTTTGATGGTCAAGATCCTCAGCAACCACAAAGACCTGAGCAAACCACAACTACAGTAAGTGATAATAGAAGCCCACCGCTAGCCTCCTACAATTCACAGTTGGAAGATCCCTAAGTCCCAAGAGTCGCAGATCCTTCATCTTGGCCGTCCACCCTACCCCTAACCCCTCTCCTCAACCTGTGAAACCTTTCCCCAAATCTATTTGTGTGAGTTCCATAACTTCCCACCACCGCCCACCCAAATCCTGAGCTCCTCATCTCCACATTGTCTAGCAGCTCTTCATCATGTGGTAACAATCCAGCCTATCATAACCCCCCCATCACCCAGAGCGACGGCCAGCATAGAGTCAGCAGACCAACCCTTTGAGTAGTCAAGCTCCCTGCCAGCTGTCCCCAACCTTTGCAAATCCCCATGCCAACAATCTCTGCTAAATTAATCTCATCCAAGCCCTGGGAACTCTCTCTCCGAACCTAGGTAATCCCTAGTGGAGAACATGCCGCTCCCACCACTCCACCAGCACAATGCCCACCTCATCAAACCCAATGACCTCGATCCCACGCCTCCCCCCACCCATACCCTAGTAAATTCCTCTCTCCTTCCCCATACCACTCCAGTCTCCTCTTTCGAAACATGCCCTTCTTCATCTTTTCCCTCTCTTGGGCCCTCACCTACTACCCCTCCTCCCGTCTCAAAACTTCATCATCTCCATTCCAGGAGGCAAACCACTGGTGGGTTCCTTCCACCCTAAACAAGATGATCTTAGGAGCATTGAAAAATGGGGTCATAGAATTTGGGAGGAATCTGATTGGAAAATTGTAGAAAGCTTGCAAATGGAGTTTACCTCTTCCTCCTCCCTTCTAAAGAAAGTGCGATGTGCGCATCAAACACCATCCCTTCCTTCTGAGCTTCTTTGTCACTGGAACATTGGTCACAACATCAAGGGGCTTTCAACAAGTAAGGGATGTGGCTTAGGGCTTCCCATATACTTCTTCATGCTTGGAACCCTAGCTTGGAACCCTAACACATTCAGACTCATCGGTAATGCTTGTGGTAATTTCATCTCCATATTGTGAAGTCCTACCGATGGGTACCGTTTGGCTACTTATTAAGGTTTTGGATCCACACAATATCCCATCCACCCTTTGGTTGGACATTGACGAGGATTACAACTGAGTTCACATCTCCTGGTCTGGATCCTCTCCATCGTCAAACCGCCATGTGTCGAGGGTGGACCACGAAGAGGAGCACACTGCTGATCGGAATCCAAAGATTACAAATGCGAGAAGATGATACAAACCCCACAATTGTGACTGTAAGACGCTCAATCGTAGGGCGTCTCCACATCATCATTGGGATGTCCATCGACGCCCAGATTCTACGGTCCCAAGTACCCCTATTGGAGTTTGCCGACCCTCTTGCCATCAAGACGGCAACATGCGTCCCACACAACTTGTCCATGAGCTGCCTTCCTCTGCAGGCTTCCATCATCTCCCCCCACCCCTGTCCCTCCAACCCACTCCCTTCCCACGTGAACCCTTATCCCACATTAGACGTCCATTCACGCCCAGATCCTACGGTCGCAAGTAACCCAACTGAAGTCAACCCTTGCTGACCCTCTCGCCATGGGGACAGCGAAACGCATCCCACACATCCTGTCCTTGAGCCACCTTCCTCTACACGCTCCCATCATTCCTCACCCCCACCCTCGTTCCTCCATCTCACTTCCCTTCCCACGTGAACCTCTATCCCCCATTGGACCATGTCACCCCATCGCCATCCTTCTTGCAACACGTCATCTTACACTTCCTCGAGGCTTTCCTGCCCCCCGAGAAGGTCTAGCTCACTCCCTCCCCTTTATCCCCCATCTGGAAGCAGGCCCTTATGTATGCCCCTTCTGTCCCGTGACACACGGCAGCCCGGGCCTGTCTCACTGCCGACGCCTTGTAGCGTGATCGATTCAATGTCCCTAACACCACTTGTGGCCCCTCCTCTCCCCTCTCTTCCTCCCTTTGACTCCCTCCCTCTACTCAAGGAGACATTAATCAAGTTTTAAAGATTATGGACTTCCATTATGATAGCCTTGAAGGCCTTTTGCATGCCTTCTTCGAGGCAGAAGCTCAAACGCAGTTTAGGGTAAGCTGCAAAGGAAAGGGAATAATGGAGATCTCTAACCTTTCTTGTGATATTAACGACAAAACCGGTCCCTCTTAGAATCCCTTGCTACTCATGGACTCCTCTCGCAAATCTCTAGCCAAGTCCGCCCATTCGGATGGTGTGTCCCTTAGACGATCTCCTAGACGCATCGCCCCCCCTCAAGCTTTCCTCATTATTATTCTCTCGTGAAACATCAAGGGTTTGGGACACCCCGATCAGCACAAGGCAGTGTGCGATCTCAGCCATAAGTACTCTCACTCTCTTCTTGCCCTCACTAAAACTAAGCTACCTTTGCCCTCTCTTATGTTGTTTCGACAAGTGTGGGAATAGAAACCTTGCCAATGGGAAACCCTGCCAGCCTTTGAGACATCAGGAGGAATTTGGGTCACCTGGGACCCAACTCTCCACACCTTAGTCTCAACCCACTAGCCTCTTTCTCAGTCATTGTGGTCATGTCTAGAATCTTCGATGGCTTGCCTTGGAAATTTTCAGCAGTTTACGGCCCCAACATTGAGAGCTTAGGGAGCACTTTTGGGCTGAACTTGATGTTGAGGCATCCCTTCCTCACCCCTCATGGTGTTTAGGTGGCAACTTTAACATAACACGTGGGTCCTATGAACGTAACTCT